TCTATATATATATATATATATATATACATATATACACACATAATATATATATATATATATATATATATATATATATATATATATATATATATATATATATATATATATATATATAAAATAAAATTCAAAGATTGCATAAATATAATTAAATCTGTATTTATGTGTATGTACCTGGGGCAGCACCGGTATCAATGCTCACTGTTGAAGAAGAACAAAGAGGAAAAAAAATGGAAGATCAAAATCGGGTTATACATATATATATATGAGAAAAATATAGTTTTCATCCCTAAGTTTGCATCTTTTTCCATTTTGGTCCATTATAATCACAAAAAGCACATTCAGTCCTTCATGTTTAAAAAATGCAAGTCATTTTCGTGAAATTTCCGTTAAAACTAACATACTTAAAAGTGTGTGCCCATCGCTACCTTAACTGACGGACTAACGGTAAATTGATGGAGAGAACCAAAAGTAGGGATGGCAATTTGACCCGCCCCGACCCGAAATTTTCGGGTATTACCCGACCCGAAAAATAATGGGGCGGGTATGGGGATTGAAATTTTTTTTTGACCGGGTATGGGTACGGGGATGAGGTTGCCTATACCCGCCCCGTAGACCCGCCCCGCATTATTTATATATATAATATATATTTTTTAATTATTATATTAAATATAATATAATTAAATATATTAAAGAGAGAGAGAAAAAAAAGGAATGAAGAGAGAGAGAGAGGTGGGAAAGAAACATACGGCCGCAGTTGGAGACGGAGGGGGAGGACACGTGGCAGGCGGTGGGGAGGGTGAGGGCTTTGGTGACGTTGAGCGTGACACCCAACTGTGCGCTGTTTCTGAATGCCTCGCAGATGCACTCTGCGTCTGTTTTCAGTACTGTTTTAAGCCCGGAGCAGCACGTTCCCTCCGGCGTCTTCGCCGTGCTCCCCTCCGTCACGAACGACAGGCAGTCCGCCATGTTCAGCACCAGGCTCGAGCAGTCCACCGCCGGCGCCGCCGCCGTATTCGCCGCCCGACCCACCGATGCTGACACGGCGAACACCAGCCACAGCAGCGGAATCCTCAATCCCAACAACACACCCATTTATGATTTATATATATGTATGTATGTATACACGCAGAAATGGATATACAGAGAAATGGTGGCAGAATTTGATGAAATATAACAAGAGGTTGTATATATATATATATAGGAAAATATACACTTTTCATCCCTAAAGTTTGTACCAATTTCACATTTGGTCCCTCATGTTCCAACAATTGAACTTATGGTCATTTTCGTCATTTTACTGTTAACTCTCAGTGATGGGCACACACTTGATTCCGTTAGTAATAACGGAAAATTGACGGAATTGACTAAAAGTGTTGAATTTCTGAAACATGAGGGACTAAATGTGTTTTTTGTAAACACGAGGGACCAAATGTGGAATAATTGCAAACTTGAGGGATGAAAAATTTATTTTTCCCTATATATATATAGTCTCCTCTAATTTTGATAATTAAAAATAAAATAAAAATAAAGATATTTGAAAATTTGAAAATCCAAGGATTTAAAAATTAATTTGTGGGATTTTAGTGGTGGTAATGATTTTGTAATTCTCCTTTATTACATTTACATGCTGGTTGTCTGTTGCCATGTTGTAGAGGTGATCATTTTTATTATTATTATTATTATTTTTTTTTTCTTAGGGCAATTTGAAATTATGAATGTTTTGTTGAGCATGCAATATAAATCATGAGTAAGATTTGATTTATATATTTTAATACATTTAAACTGGCTTTCTAAAAAAAAAAAAAAATCACTTATCATAACGCCCATAATCACTTTTAAAATGCGAAAGAAAAAGGCTAATTTGCAGGTTCACAATGATTGGTTAGCTTAAATCTCTTTACCCCACGCGACCAACTTTCTTCTCGGCGCAACTTTAACTTTGAGCTTCTAGCTTTTCAAATTGGTCAAAATTAAGCCTTTTTGTGGGTGATTTAAAAAAAAAAAATATGTATATATATATATATATATATATATATATATATATATAAAATATATATATATATATAGTCTTTTTTTTTATAGAGTCACATTATATGAAATAATTTTTAAAAAAGGGCTTGGTATATTTGCTACGAGGTTTTTTACTAGTCACAACATGATTTTAATCATTTAAAACTTTTTTCCTTCAAAAATTCTCTCTAACCATCACAAACTCTTTCAAATATTCGAAAATCATCAAAACTCACGCCATTCAATCCATCACTTACGACTCTTGAGTACAGTGATTTTTAGTAACTTACTTCATTTCAATTAATTTATTTACAAATTAATTAACATATATAGATTTAAGTTTAGGTTTAGGAGTTCAAAAAAAAAAAGGTAAATTACAACCACCCTTGAGGTATGATCAATTTACGAAAAAATCCCTCTTGTTTGGATAATTACATTTATCCCCTCAACTATGATTTTTTTTTACACGTCCACCTTTATGGTGTCAAATTCAAAATAATCATCTAGATTTCATTGAATGTGCTCTACTTTTGTATTCGTTGTGTAAAAATGCAGTTTCTGATGCATCACAATCTGATATATACAAGCCAAAAAACACATATTATGATCATCTTGCTTCAAAATGTGGAGTTCGAATGGGATAAAACGGGTGCAAAAGTGATAATATTTCATATAATCTCGAAGATTACACTAAATTTGAAACCGCAAGGGTGGACGTGTAAGATGATTTATAGTTGAGGGGTGGTTGTAATTACCCAAACATGAGGGGGGTTTTTCATAATTTGATCATACCTCAGGGGGTGGTTGTAATTTACACAAAATATTATTGAATCTGACCTAGTTTTGTGTTATAGGGCACGGAAACCCCAAGAATTTGAAGTTTTTGTGCTCTAGGAGCACGAGAACTCAAAATTTAGAAAGTTTCGTGCTCTAGAGCACGAAAAAATTGATATTTTTTACAGTTTCATGCGACCAATAAAAATCCCGATACAATTAGCATTTCAGTTTAAAAAACGACTCCTTCAAATTATGTTCTCACATTCAAACTCTTTCCGATATTGCTGAAAATTAAATCAAATCAAATCAAAAACCTTCTTCCACGAGTCATAAGTTGGTTTCGAACAATAGACCTCGTATCAAATGAACAAAGTTGAAATTATTTGAGGTGGGAAATTCATTATTGGGTAAATTATACCCACATCCCTGAGGTATGCTTAAATAACTTTAAGGTTCCTATGGTATCGATAATTACACTCATCCCCTGAAACGTAGTTAGAAACTCTAATGGGATAATGCTTTGGATACGTTATTCCGATCAGGTTCTAACACACTATTACTTTTAGCTAGTGGTGGAGACAACATAAAGTTATGGGGTGACATGACTCCCCCAACATTTCTTAATCACCGATAGCTGTTTGTTGTCTCCACCATTTCCTGAAACCAATAGTCAGTTAGAACTCTATCGAAAGAATATAGCCAATACATTATCTCATTAGAGTTTCTAACTACGTTTCAGCGAGTGTAATTATCAATACCACAGGGACCTTAAAATTATATAAGCATAGTGAATGTAATTTACCCTTCATTATTTTTCTCAAATATGTGAATCTTTTTTTTTATCACATGAAAAGAGATGATTAGGTTATCCAGTATGGGTGATAGTTATGATTTATGAAAGTGGGCTTCACACATGACTATGTGACTGGAAACATAGGCTGGTGAAGGGCCCACCAAACCCACGCCGATCAACTTTCGGTGGCTATAGCCTACAAATTTGAGTGAAATTCTTTTTTTCTTTTTTCTTTTTTTTTTTTTTTTTTTTAATATTTATACTTAGATTTAAAGGCAAATTACGGACACCACTAAAGTAATATTTCGAAAAATTCTCTCAGGTTTGGGTAGTTATAATTATACCCACAATTATGTATTGTTTTACACGTTCACACTTATTGTATCAAATTTACCCACTGGATGATGGGTTTTTTCGTAAGACAGTACATAGTTGGAGATTGTAATTATTCAAACATGAGGGAATTTTTTTCGTGAATTGACCTTAGGTTGATCGTAATTTGCCCTATATCTAATTTAGTTTTTGATATGAATGATTGGTTTTGAACTCTTCATATAAACATGACCAATTTTGTATCTGGTTGTAAGAGAAAGGTATATAATATTTAGTTTGAGGGTAGTTAAATAGTTTTGTTTGATAATAGATCAAGCTAAGATGAATTGATTTGACATCTACTATAGTAATATTTCTTTTATGTTATGGATTCTTGATATCGCCTCTTCTAAGTCTTGAATAATCACAATATAATTTCATAGAGCTTGTATAAATACATAAAATAAAATCCATCGTTAATTTCAATGTAGTGAAAATATTATCGCTCGCTCCCGTGGATGTAAATATATGTAGAAATTGTCCCGCAAGTGATGATCTAGCGATTGGAGCAAGTGAGTTTGTATCAATTGACCCAAGTTCGACTTTTCTTATCAGTGGTCGTTGGGTCAAACTTGTAACATATATGATTAGCCTAGTTGTTAAGTGTTTGAGCCCAATTAATGATCTTTAGTGATCTGGGCCATTCTCTAACAAATGTAGCCCAATTCAAGGAACCGGGCCCAACAGCAACTTAAGCCCATTGATCTGGTCAAACCCAATTTGGACCGTTCGTTGCGTGGTTTCAATCTCGGTCGTTCATCCCCAAACCCTAGCAGCTCATTCTGCTGCGCCGTTTCTCTCTTTTCCTCTTGTCCTCTTCTCTCTCTATAGTGTTTCGTCATCCATTGTCGTTTTCCGGCGACACCGTCGCATGTCTAGCCGGAAAATTGGTGTCTTTGCCGTCGCAGCACAATTAATGTTGAAGACCGTTGAATCTTCGTGTATATATACTGTGGTGAGAGAGAGACAAGTGTGACTTACCTTTTATTCAATCCGAGTGTTTTCTGTCATTAATACTCTTCTGTGAGTGATTAAGGAACTCTGAGTGAGCGAAATTGGGTTTGTGCTGAGTGGGGAGGGTGAGTTGGTAACTGAGTTGACTGTGCATGTGTTGATGAGTCAACTCAGTGTGAGTTTGGGGATAGATCTAGGGTTTTGGATCAGTGTTTGTTGTTTGGTGCTTGTTTCCGTTTTGGTGTTGCCACCAGACCATGCAGCTCTCGGCTTGAGCTATTTATCATTTTATCTCTCTCCCTCTTTCTTTGGTTCTACGGATCTATGGCTGAATCTAAAGGAAGATGTACCTAACAATTCGTACTCACATAATTAAAAAACCCTAACTCTCTCTTTTAACCTTAATCGTCAGCCGGCCGTAGACACGCACAAAAATCCGCAGTCAGTCACTCATAATTATCAAAGCTTATCCGAAAATGAAACCATCTAGATCTGGAAACCACAGTAACTATCGCCCCTCATACCGCCATAACCACCCCTCGCAGTAACCGCGACCATAACCGCCTCACCATATCCACACCTTTCACACATTCTAGATTAGTGATGAGGGGCATCATTTAGATTTAATTTCATAATTTTGTAGATTGATTCTTGTTTGTTCTTCGGCTACTTTATTAGTATTATGTTATTTTGGTATTATTAGTGTTCTTGTAGGTAAATGAATGAATAACAACTAACAACTTTCATATTTTATGAGATAGGGATTCAAACGAGGTCAAAATAAGGGTTAAAGTTTGAAACTGGGTGCTGGTCTATCATTTTTAACCGCGGTATCGCTTTATTATTTGAAAAGGCGATACATGCACAAATACACTTGCTTGTAAGAATATTTACGCAATAAATTTTGGCGTTGTTTGCACGGGAGCACAGTTAAACAAGCGATATTAGAATTATCATACCTCGAATCATCGAGAATTTTTCATAATTTATTTCGGAGAATTATACTGTCAGTTTTAAGAAAGATTGAAGAAAATATTAAAGACAAGTACATAAATTCACAGAAACAACATCAAAAGAACAAACCCAAGTGGAAATTATATTGAATTAATAAGACAATCCCAAACTCAAACACATCATCCACCAACACAACCGTGGAGAGATTCCGAAAATAAATAAAATAATACTAATAAAAAAAAATGAATTGACAAAGATATTAAAAAAGAAACAAGAAAATGCACGCAAAGGTAAAACGTATAGATGTTAGAAGTAGATTCTCAACACTATAGCATGCTTTACGATCAAATTTAGATGATTTTTTCCACACTTGAAAACAAAAATGTATCGATGAATCTTGATGGATTTTCGGGCCGAAGAAATGGACCTCTCAAGGCTCCAGTTTGGGAGACAAAGTCGAGATAGCGTCTGCAACAGTGAGGAAAATCTTGTCTTCTCCGACTTTGCTGGCAAATTCTGACGCATGTAGTTTGTCCAATACAGTCTGCCCCGGATTTGCAAGAACAAGCTGATTCATAGAAGGTTTGTGTTACATGCAGGGATTAATTAACCTAATTCATTAATTAATTTGATCTTACCGTTTATTAATTTGGCGCACGAGCACACACCCACATGGGTGTGTGTGTTTATAAGAAAAAAACATGCAAAATTAAATTCACCTGTATGTCTCTCTTTTGAATACTTTTTTGCAGCTCTTCCAAGGAATGAATCCCACTAGTATCTATATCTGTCACAGCTGATCACAAGAAATAAAAATATAAAAATTAGGATAATTTTTTTATTTATTTTATTCCATGTGGGAAAAAAACGAAAAGACGAGTGGAGAATCACTTACGAGACATTTCGACAATCAAATACTGGATTCTTGACTGGTCATTCTCTTTATGGTTTTCCTCTTCATCACTCAACAACCTCAGTAACCTTGAAAAAACAATTATTGTAAGAGATCAGGAATTAATAGAAATACATTGGGATGTAAATGAAGTTAACAAATTAAATTAAAACAATATATATAAATAAATAAGTAAATACCTCTCCCTAATGTAATTGGAGTTGGAAAAATAGATTGCAGAGTCGACTCTGACAATGAGAGCACCAGGAACTTTAGTTGCCTCTGGATATTGCTGAGTGTTCCTATAAACCGTAGTCCTCGGTATTTTACCAAGAACCGCAGTTCTTGGACGTGTCACTTGCAGAAGAATCTTAGCAAACGATAATGCCACCTGTCGTTTATTTGTCTCAAGAATCATTTTTCGGAACATAAAAAAAAATTTGTATGAAAAAAAGAAATTGATCATTTATTTCTGTACCGAGATGAGAAGGCCAATTTCGATGGAGATGAAAATGACACCAAAGAAGGCACCCATGCAAGCAACAAAGTCGAATTTATCGATCTTCCATATAAGTTTCATAGCTTTGTAATCGAATAATCCAACAACAGCAGATATAATGATGGCAGCAAGAATAGCGTTGGGTGTGTATTTGAACAAGGGTGTGATCACCAGCAACGTTAGTAAGACAACTATCGACATTACTATGTTCGACACAGCTGTGTTGCATCCCGCCATGTAGTTCACAGCCGATCTCGAGAAAGATCCTGTTACAAAAAGAAAATTCAAATTTAAAATCGAGGATTATATATATGATAATTAATGTGTTAGACGATTACGAAACAAACCTGTGGCAACATAACAAGAAGTCATAGAGCCGACAATGTTCATTGTGCCTAATGCCACCATTTCTTTGTTCCCATCTAAGTGATAGTCTTTCAATGCTGCAAATGTTCGACCAATTGCTACTGCTTCCTGTTTTACGTTATATATATATAAATATATGTTATAAGTACTCAGAAAATTAAACAAGTTCCTGTATGAAGATTTTCTTGGCTTACGGTTAGTGCAACTAAGCCTGCGATAGCGCCAATTCTGAAACCGGTCATGACATAGCTGCCGGTGAAGTGGATTTGATCGAGAGACGGAGGGGGTAGGCCTCTTTCAATATGGCGGACCTTCGTATAAGATAAAACGATTTATAAATTAGTTTTTATTTTATTTATAATCACTAGTTCTGAAGAAAGTAAGCAAATGCGTACGATTTGGACTCCTTTCTTGTCTGCACGGGTGATGAAAACGCAGAACGTTGCTATGATAACAGACAGCAATGGAGCTATCGCAGGAACCCAAAATAGTTTCTTGTTCCTTTTTCCCTGATCCAACAAAACTTATTAGTATATATATATATATATATATATATATATATATATATAAGACAAGTTAGTTAGGCTTCTTACAATATACTTGGTAAGGAGCAGAAAAGCCAAGAATGTGATTCCTATGACACAAGTCTCCCAATTCCACTGTAATAATAATAAAACATAAGAGAAACATTTAACTAATTAGCTTCATAATCTTATTAGGTTTACTAATGATGTAAGAAGATTGTAATTGGTTGATCTAATTACCCCATGATGAACATTAGTCCAAACGGAACGCATAACAGAAACTATGTCGGTTTTCTTGGTAAAAGTCTTTACACCGAGCAACCCCTTCAGCTGTTGAAGGCCGATAGTTATGGCCGCTCCTGCCATAAATCCCACAATCGCCGCGTGAGAAAGAAAGTCGATCAAGAAACCCAACCTGAAAACAAAAAAAAGACAAAAAAGTCCTTTGTTGTTGAATTAAATCTTTGATGATATTAAGAATCTTTTTCTTTTCTTTTTACAAAAAGAGGAAAAATATAAACCTGAAGAAACCGAGAGTAAACTGAATGATCCCAGCAAAGAAAGTAGCCGTAAAGGCAAGTTTCTGATACTCGACTTTGTGTTTGGGATCGATTTCCTTTTGAAGCAAACTTCCAAGCAACAGAGAAACCACAGCCACCGGTCCGATGGCTATATCTCTCGAACTTCCCATTGCTGCATAAATCAATGGCGGAACAAAACTACTGTCTGCAAATTCCAAAAAATGAAAAGGTATTATTAGTATTTTTTTTTCAAGACACTAAAACAAAGGACGATCCATGTTTGTCTTATTTTTAATGAAACTTACATAGGCCAAACTGGGGATCCATGTTGGCAAGCTTTGCATATGCAATATCCTAATGCAATAGCAAACAAAAGAAAATCGAATATTGTTTAGAAACTATATATCAAACGTAATTAAACGAATTTGTCTAATTTATCTTTTTCGAATATTATTGATTAATTCACCTGAGGTATGCATAGACTTGCAATGGTGAGCCCGGCTATGAGATCACCTCTGAACAAGTGGAGTTTGTAGCGTTTAGCCCAATCAAGAATCGGGAAAACGCCTTGTATAGCAAGTAACAGTTTTCTCGATTTCGATTGGTCCTTGAAATGTTTAAGAGGTTCATCATGGAAGAAAGTCTCCTTCAACGTAAACTTGATCTCCTTCAAGAGCCCTTGCTTAGGTGGCACCCCCACCTTGTGAACGTAAGACCCGTCATTATTGCCTTCACTTGTACCGCCACCCTCGTCTCCAACACGTACCATCTTGGCCGGAAAATGCAATCACCTATGTGATAAAAACAAAAAAAAAAAAAAAAAAAAACAGATTGTACATCAATATATTATATGATAAAGACATATATATATATATATATACCTTAAAGTTAACTAACAAAAATATGAAATAACCCTTGATTGTTCTTGAATGTTTATGATTTCCGTTTTTCCGTTACTATAAATACAAAAAGAAACTGGTAGTGAAGGTAGATAAAGGGCAATGGGGAGTACCTAGTGTGCAGAAATATATTATATTCTCTCAGAATGTGATAGATTGTAGCTTAAACTTAAGCGCTTATATAAGCTGCAAGAATCTAAAGTCAACTGTATATAAAATTAAAGCTTACATACGAAAAGTGAACCTAGATCACATACAAACTACATTCAGCTTTTGCCTTAAAATGACAGTTGTGGATTTACTATTAGTCGACAACAGATTATCCTAAAGAATGAATGATTGAATATTGTACATAAAAATAAGAGATTAACGAGTTGACTTTTAGCTAAAAGTCCACTACGTATCTTTCTCTAACTGAACATTAGTATTAACAATTAATTGTTCAATTGAAAAAGAAAAAAAAAAACACAATTTCTAGCCGATTTAAGTGGGGGTTGGCCATTCGCGTTTACGAACGGTCATCGCATTTGAAAGATGGCAACTTATTAAATTCCAATAAGATATTATAGTTCGAGAAAATGATAAAGTAGCGATCAATAGATTAAAGTACTCGAACTCGACGAATATTCAAATAGGTTCATGTAAATCTGCCGTATTTGTTTCGATAATCGATATCAGGACAAGGTATTACACAATCATTAACATTATAAATCAAACTTTCGAATTGAAAATCAACATACAAATAGATAAAATATAGTTGTGAAATAAATCTGACCTTTTCCCTTGTGTATTGCATGGAATCCACTCGACCAGTTCTCCGATTTCATCATCTCAACATACAACTGGAGAATTTAATATTTCTAATAATTACATTAAAAAAAAAAAACAGATCAAATATTTTCAGACTAATTATCTATAGATAATCACATAATTGTTCGTCACAAAAAGAAATTAAAAAAAATGAAAACAAAATAAGCCAAGTAGGAATTGAGAGAAGAAGCTAACCTGATTTCCGTCCAGGTTCAATGAACTGGAATGCGTTGAATTTTCAAATTTATTTTTTTATTGTTTTGAAGCAAACAGCTGGAACAAGTGAGGATATGGGATTTGGGAACACGTCGAATTTGTTCATCAATGTTTTCTAGGGTTTCTGCAGCGTAGGAAGAAGGGGGGTGAAGACCCCCTTCGTCTTCTCTCTTATCGCTCACTGACATCTAAGTGGGAATTTAGTGTGTAATTAACCAGAACAGGTTACTTCGTTGGGTGGTTGTTCCAAATTTTCAAAATTTAAAGGGCAAATTTCATTTTTCCCACCAAATACTTTGGTTCGATATCGATTTACTTCTTCTACTCTTAATTGTCTCAACGTGGCTCTCGCTGTTAGTTGTCAAATATTTAACATTAATACCGTTTGGTCTAAACTCTGAAATTACAAAATATCACACCTCCCGGTTTAAATAATTATTTGGAGGGTAAATTACAACCACTCCTAAGGTATGGTCAAATTATGAAGAAAAAAAAACCCTCTTGTTTAGATAATTACATCTACCCCTCAACTATGAATCTTCTTACACCTCCACCTTTATGGTTTCAAATTCAACATAATCATCTAGATTTCGTAGAATGTGCTATAGTTTGTACTCGTTTTTGTATATAAATACAGTTTCTGATGCACCAAAATTTGTTATATATACAAGTCAAAAAACACATCTTATGATCATCTTGCTTCAAAATGTGGAGCTCGAATGGGATAAAATGGATACAAAAGTGATAATATTATATATAATCTAAAAGATTCCACTAATTTTGAAACCACAAGGGTGGACGTGTAAGAAGATTTATAGTTGAGGGGTGGTTGTAATTACTCAAACAAGAGGGAGGTTTCGTAATTTGATCATACCTCAGGGGTGGTTGTAATTTACTCTTATTAAGAAAACAAAAAAAATAAATAAAATTAAAAATCACAAGTCCACAAGAGCAACTGGTTTTGCCATTGGGTTTCCCCAAAAGACCTCATACCAATAGAGTTGAGTGATATTTCTCATGTTTTGTTTGCACCTCAATACTAGTCAAATTTATGTGTTTAATATAATTTGCAAGCTAATATACAAGAGTGTAGATTTATCCAATAAATCTTTACGGTTGATTGCGAGGCGGAATCCTCGGATCCATTTCACACACAATTTTAGTAGAATAGGGGGACAAATAACTAAAGGACGAAATCATCCACGTGGATATCACCATCTAAAATATTTATAGATGGATTTTGTTATTCTGATTGGCTAGAAATATGTCCAATGGAGTCTCAAGATTTGATCTCCAGATTTCACTTATCCTACCTGTCTGCTCCCACATTTGATCTCCTTCAACAAGTAAACCAAACCTTCTTTTAAACAGCAATTAACTGACTGAATTTTATAAGATAACTTCTTATCTACCTTGAGAGAGAGAGAGAGAGATGGCCTCTACATCAGCTGCATTGCTAAATGGCTTGGGCTCTACCTTCTTGACAGGTGGCAAGAAAAGCCAATCCCTCCTCTCAGCCACCATCGCCGCCAGAACTGGCGGCGCCGCATCTCCAAAGAGGCTCATAGTGGCGGCTGCCGCCACCAAGAAGTCTTGGATTCCGGCCGTTAAATTCGGCGGCAACTTACTCGACCCCGAATGGCTCGACGGCTCGTAAGTCGTCCCCCACTTCTCGCTCTGTATATGTGTGTGTTACTTGTAGATTTTTCTGTTTCTTTTTTTGGTAGTGTTTTATTTATTTATTTATTTTTTTAAATTTTATAGTCTCCCCGGGGACTTCGGTTTCGACCCGTTGGGCCTAGGAAAGGACCCGTCATTCTTGAAATGGTACAGAGAGGCGGAGCTCATCCACGGCCGGTGGGCCATGGCTGCAGTCCTAGGCATATTCGTGGGCCAGGCCTACACTGGAATCCCGTGGTTCGAGGTGGGGGCCGCCCCGGGGGCGGTGGCCCCCTTCTCGTTCGGATCCTTGCTCGGGACCCAGCTGTTCCTGATGGGCTGGGTCGAGAGCAAGAGATGGGTCGATTTCTTCAACCCGGAATCTCAATCGGTTGAGTGGGCCACACCGTGGTCGAGAACCGCGGAGAACTTTGCCAACTTCACGGGCGAACAGGGTTACCCGGGCGGGAAATTCTTCGACCCGTTAGGGTTTGCGGGCACATTGAAGGACGGGGTTTATTTGCCCGATGAAGAGAAGCTCGAGAGATTGAAGCTTGCGGAAATCAAGCATGCGAGGACGGCTATGTTGGCTATGCTTATCTTTTATTTCGAGGCCGGGCAAGGGAAAACGCCCCTCGGAGCACTCGGCTTGTAAAAAATCTCGTCGACATATTCTTTTGTATAAAGAAACATTTCCAATGTAAAGAGTTCAGTTAGTGCACTAGCGATTGTGTCGCTTCGAACCTCGTGCCCGAGGTTGAATCTACTATTACGCAAACTACGACCTCTACGCAATATCGAGCATCAAATGTATTTATCGAATGAAAAACTAATACACAAAACCGAAAAAAAAAAGTTCATTTTTGAAAGCTAATAAAAACAAATAGACAAAGATTTCATTGTACTCTCAGTCTCAGCTGACAAAATCTTCCAAGAGTTTCTTGTTTTTCTTACCACAAAGTAAAACTCATAGCTGTCCTAGAATATCCCTCTTGTTTGAATCACTATATCACTCATCAAACTCCCCTCTTTACACAATTCATACACAAATATTAAAAAAAAAAAAAAAAAAAGAAACTCCGAAAAAAGATGTCTCACTCCAATTTGTTCATCTTCCTAATTCTCATGTCCCTTTTGCTTCTAAACAAACGAGCCGTATCCGAAGACGATTCCGTCGGCTTCCACGGATATGAGAGGGACGCCCTTTTGAGACTAAAGGCAGGTTTCAATAACGCGTTTCTCGATGGAAATTGGACGGGAATCATGTGCTACATGAACGAGCCGCCTTACTGGCACGGCGTCCAGTGTCTGAACGGCCGCGTCAGTGGCGTAACCCTAGAAAAAATGGGTCTCGTCGGTGAAATTAAAGTAGATTCGCTCTTCAATCTCACCGAGCTAACCACTCTCACCTTCAAGAATAACTCCATATCCGGAAATATGATGGACTTCACGTATAGCCGGAAGTTGATAAACATCGACTTATCGGGCAATAATTTCGTCGGGGAAATTCCTTCGTCACTTTTGAACCTCGATTCTCTTGAATCTCTCAATCTTGAAAACAACAAGTTAACCGGTCCAATCCCGGAATTAAATCAATCCACCCTACAATCATTCAATGTCTCTAACAACAATCTCTCCGGTGAAGTACCGGAAACCAAAACCCTTCAGTCGTTCGGTCTTTCGTCTTACTTAGGTAACGAAAACCTATGTGGGCCACCAACTCCTACACTCTGCACCACCTTGCGTGAATCCAACGGCGACGAAAATCCGGGCAAGAAAAGCAAAAACAACGAGCTTTTCGCGGCGGTTATAGTGGTGGTGGACGTGGTTGTGCTAGTGGTGATTCTCTTCCTACTCATCATATACTACAAAAAGTACAAGAAACTCAAAACCGAAATTCAGACAAGAAACAACAACAACGTACCTCTAAACGACGAGCACGACAGCACGATAATCGAACGGTCGAATGACAAAAGTGCCCTTGACGGAGGAGAGAGGGGGAAGCTCGTGTTTCTGGAGAATAATAATAGCAATAACGGGGCGATATTCGAGCTCGATGACTTGTTGAAAGCGTCGGCCGAAGGATTGGGGAATGGCAATTTCGGGAATTGCTATAAGGCTATGCTTGCGATCGGGGAGGTCGTCGTTGTGAAAAAGCTGAGGGATTTGAAACCGATGAATGGTGACGAGTTTGTGAGAAAGGTGACAGAAATTGCTGAGCATAAGCATCCAAATTTGATGCCTCTTTTGGGGTATTACTATTCCAAGAATGAGAAGCTGTTTCTTTACAGATTCGCATCTTCCGGAAATTTGCATAATCGCCTTCACGGTAAATTTTTCGATTTTTGAACAATATTTCTCATTCCAAAAACTTTAGATTTTTCGATTCTGATTTCCAAAAAATTTAGATTTTCGGTTTATTTTTCGATTTCTTTTGGAACGGATATATAATACATATTAGATTCCGATTTCTGATCCAATTATGATTTCTGAAAACTCCGATTCTTTTCCGGAAGTTACATTTGTAGGATCAATATTATTATGTATCTTATGGGAAAATTACAGTTTTGATCCCCAAGTTTGCACCGATTTCACATTTCGTCATTCATGTTCAGAAAATAAATACAATTCGGCCCCTCATGTTTCAATAATTTAACATTTTTAGAAATTTCCGTCAATTTACCGTTAGTACGTTAGTTAAGGCAGCGATGGACACATGCTTGCTTCCATCAGTTTTAACAGAAATTTGACGGAATGAACTAAAAGTGTTGAATTATAAAATATGAAGGATCAAATGTATTTTTTGTAAACAAGTACATAAAATGTGTAATCAATGCAAACTTGAAAGATTAAAACTGTATTATTCCCTGTAATTTATAATTTATAGTACAGATTATTACTACATTACTAAAGAAATCAACTACCAAATTCCGCCGATTTTGATTCGAAAATCTTCGGGTTCGGAATAAGTTTTCTCGACTCCAATTTTCGAAATTCGATTTCTGATTTTCTCAAAATTCTTTTAATTTTTCTCGGAACGGAATTGCAACTATTTTTTCACTTTACGAAAAAATAATGACCTTTTTACCCCTAACTGTGTGTAAATCAAAATTGGAAAATTTTCATTGTGGAAGAATTTATTACCAAATGCTTGATCTGCAGGAGGAAGAGGAACAAGGGATCGGGTCCCCTTCCGGTGGAGCTCGCGGCTCGCCGCCGCCCGCGGCGTCGGAAGAGCCCTACAGCACCTGCATCTCAACTCCGGCCGATCACAAACCACCGCCCCCCACGGCAACCTTAAATCCTCAAACGTCCTCCTCGACGAGAACGACGAAACCCTAGTTTCCGACTACGGCCTCGCCGCCCTAATCGCGGCCCCAATTGCCGCCCAACGAATGGCCGCCTACAAATGCCCGGAATACCAGTCCCGCAAACGGATATCCGAAAAGTCGGACGTTTGGAGCTACGGCGGCCTGCTGCTGGAGCTCCTGACGGGGAGGATTCCGGCGCACTCGGCGGCGCCGGGGACGGAGGGGGTAGATCTCTGCAGCTGGGTCCACCGCGCGGTGAGGGAGGAGTGGACGGCGGAGATATTCGATGCGGAGATCGCGGTGCAGAGCGGGGCGAACAGCGGGATGCTGAGGCTGATGCAGATCGCCATGAAGTGCTGCGAGAAGTCGCCGGAGAAGCGGCCGGAGATAAGTCAGGTGGTGGCGGAGGTGGAGGAGATCAAGGGTGGCGGCAGGGATTCGGAAGAAGATGATGAGTATTCGTCATACTCGTCGTTTGATCGATCGGTGACGGATGATTCTTGGTCGGCAACTCCGTCACTGGTAATCGGAGATGCTCACAGATAACTATTTGTGGATATGGGTAGAAATTGATATATGAAAATCAGATGGATTAAATATGAATCATGACTTTTAAATAAAATCAAATTTGTTTCTTCACTAAAGAAACTAATTCAAATTTTGTCCCATGAAATTTCAAAAAATAAAAATTACGAATTGTAATTATATATATATATATATATGTTTTATACATTCTTTCTATATACATTCAAAAAAAAGGAAGGCTTACGAGGCGGCTCGTAAGTTCACAAACAATTAAAAAAAGAAAAGCTTGAGCTTGCGAGCTCGAGTTGAAATTGAAGTGTTTTTTTTGAGTCGGCTCATCGAGCTCACGAGTCAGCTTAACTCGTCTACCACCCCTACTGCCCTACATACATAATAAAATTGATATTCAAGATCTCGAACATCGATCTGCAAGAATATATTATCATATATGCACCGAAAAAACTTCATTAAACGCCAAATGTTATGAATTTGTAATGGACAATACAACTCATGAACATCTATGGTTTAAAATTAAAATCGAAACTCAAAGGCTGTATGTATACCCGACTCGAAGAAAATGAAAAAAAATCGACGAAGAAGACGGAAAGGGCAAATGTTCCAGAACAAATGAACACACATAGAGATAGAATTTATTGATGAAAAATATTAATCGAATTTTGGCGGGAATCCCAATTAAAGGCTCCGGCTGGAGTGTAAGGGGTATTATTGGAAATTACTAAGGTCTTGTGTATAGCGTAATTACGGTATTGCATTTAGACTCGCTGATATATATATTTTACTTTGAATCCAAAATATCTGCCGACTGACAAATTACCCGATCTGCAGCACAAATTCTCCGATGAGCTTATCTCTGCTGCAAGGCTACTCCTCCGCCGAAGAAGACGACGGCGACCAACTGTTGCTGCAAGAGGAACAGCTCTCCTCCGATGAAGAGGCGAACGACGCCGTTCCGAAGACTAGCCGTTCCTACAAACCCTTGACCGATCCCAATCCGCCGTCCTCTTCCTCCCTGCCTTCCGCTTTCGACGCCTTCTCCGAAGTAGTTACCCAATTTTTTTTATTCGTTCAATTGTTTTCTTCGGTTTGTTATTTCTAGGGTTTTGCAAAATAAAAAATCTTATATTTTTTTTTAATTTTTATTTTGGAGATTTCAGGACCGCCGCAGTTTCTGAACAACTCTGTGAAAGAAGATACGCCGAAAGAAGATGTGCATCGGTGGAGGCACGGTGGTCGGAGAAATCGTAAAGCAAAGAATAATTTACCTTCAGGTGATCTTTTTATTTTTCGCCTTTTTGAGTATTGGCATTTATGATTTATTTCTATGGAGTTCATCTTCATTTCAGTATTGGGGGTTGTTAATATTTTGCAGCAACCTAAATTTCGTCAGCTGTGATGTTAAGGAAGGTGAAAAAGCAATGTTGATGTTCACTTCTTAGTAGAATGATGATTGTTTTTTTTTTTAAATTAGAATCGATTGTATCTACCGTCTCCTGCATTTATAGCCCAATTTGCTTTTGGAGATTTTCCGAGATTTTAGTTCCAGATTTTTTTTACAAATTCCACAAAACATTGTCCAAGAGTTTTTCTCGTGGAAAGTGAATTAGATGAAAATTTAGAGATAGAAGGTCGAGTAAGTAACGAACAAATAGCTTAATTTCGACTCTGAAATCTTTGATGAAGGCCATTCAAACTAGAAATATTTGCTATCGATCTTCTTACTACTTTGTGGTCTTGTTGAATGTTGTATTTAAGTAAATTATAAGGAGAAGGACTGGGATAACAGCTAGCCTAATAGTTTAGATCCGTTTAGGATGGGTCTCTTTTATTATACTCTGATGAAGTCCGTTTTTCGCTTTTGTATTATTGTATTTGGTATTGATGTTATGAATTAAAAGAATATCATGATTCTCTTGATGCTGTTGAAACTTGAGGTATACTCGAGTTTATTTTGTTTTTTTTTCTTCATCTTTCTTTCAATATTTTTATGGCATGGCCATCTCGTACTCATTTTGATAAAACTTGATCATCTAAGCTCGTTGCTGTTTTTGTCATATTCCAGCATGTGAAACCTGTTTGTCGGCGTCGATTCCATTGCAATGCATCTTCAAAATATACCCCATTTCACTTTCTTTTCGTGTTTTCTTATGCCAAAATTTTCATTTTCACACCTTTGCTTTTGACATAGTAGACCGCTTCACGTTTTGATCCGCGGGCTTCGTACAGAGTATTAGAGCAACTAGTTCTCTTCGGCCTTGTATATTTGATCCATTTCACCATTCCCCCTAATTTTAGGTATGGTATCCCATTAGGCTGGATTTGGAGCTAACGATTTCAAATCCGTAGTAACAAATCCATCTATCTTACTTGGATGGGATGATCAAATTTTAACTCTTAGTTGAACTAATTTTTGAGCTATACTGTAGAGGATCTGAAATAAATTGGATATTTCAGATCCTTCAATCCAAACAGAGCCTTATGAAAGTTGGATGAAAAAAATTGTATCTAATAATTTCAAAATAGAAACATAACAGTGTCTTGTAATGCAAAATTTTCTGTGGACTGGAGTCATGTTAAGATGTTCATTTCGTTTGAAAGTTATGTGTTTTTTGTAGGTGCTGTAGTCGAATCCAAGGCCCAATTAGTTGGAATCCACGAGAGAGTGAGAAGCGATATCGTAAGCAACGTTTCCAAAGACCAACCCAACGGTGCAAAACGTGTGGCTACAGCTGGAAACCCTAATGCAGAAGATGCAGCTGAACTTTTAAGGTGCGTGTTTTTAATTCTTTTGTGGAACCAAATTAAGATTAGATGGTAGTTTAGTAAGTTAGTACACTTGTTTAATATATATATACAAAAACAACGGTGGTTTAGTAAGGTAGTACACTTGTTTAATATCTAAAAAAACAACGGTGTTTTACAGGATGTGTGTGAAATGTGGAATCCCGAAAACGTTCACTCATGGGAAAGGAATGGTTTGCCCAATGTGTGGGGACCGCCCACCTGTCGACTCGGATAAAGAATCTCTGAAGAAAAAGAGTTCGGCTGTCAAGGACAAGGAGAAGAGTAAGAGGATGAAGGGCCAATCATCACATGCCACGTGGAAAAGTGAAACGGAGATGCAACTCAGGCAGCAGTTTGATTAGAGAAAAACGAGGCTAGAGTTTTCGATGACCTCATCATGTATGTTTAGTTTTTTTGTTTTTTTTTTTTTTTTTTGAACTTTTAGAAATTGCGGATGGATCTGTGCTATAATTTGTTGTCACCTCTATTTGTATCTGTTACTTTGTTCGTTTATTCTCGTCGGTTTTGTGGCAAATTTGGAGTAACAGAGTAATAATCACAACTAAGGAAGAAAGAAAAACAAATAACTTATGAGTGAATTTTGGCGTTAAAACGCCTGAGGTTACTTGTATTACAATTTACAGACGATGAATGGAAATCTGCAGAAGCAATCGAACATTGTATATTCAGCAACATGACAACTTCTCAACTTCAGAAACAACTGTTGATTCGCTGAAGTAATTCTCGTTTGATAGAGGTGAACTTGCGATAGGTTCATGAACCTGCTCGTGAGACAAGAAGTTAATAATAGTTCAATTACAAGATTGCGTGAATAAATCAAATAATAAATGTTCGATTTGTGGCATATGCGGAGAAAAGGAAAAGATTTACCTCACTAGGGTTGGTGGCTGAGTCTAAAGGCATTTGAAATAATAAGTGTGCTATCGAACGGTCGAGAGGATTCGTATGTATTTCGATATCCATGAAACTGGTGCACATAGAATTGCGTATCACGATTAACACTAGTATTAGTTACCATTTAACTTAAGTAGACAAATAAACATTGTTTACGAAAAATAAAGGGGGACAGATGAAAAAGATTTTCCATTTATATTAGGGCAAATTACGAAAACCCCCTCCTGTTTGAGTAATTACAACCAGCCCCTCGACTATGCATTGTCTTACACTTCCACCTTTACGGTGTCAAACTTACCTACTATATGAGGGGTTTTTTCGTAAGAAAATACATAATTAAAGGGGTGGTTGGTAATTACCCAAAAATGAAGGGTTTTTTTTTTTTTTTTGTAATTTAACTTTAATTTGGCCGTAATTAGCCCTTGTATTATATGCTTAAACTTAAATAAACATAAGAATGAAGATAAAAGAAAGAGGTCGAATTTTACATACTTGTTTGCGCGGTTACGTCTTTTGTTAGCACTCCGAGCCAAACGGTACAAACTATCCCGTATGCATAACTTTGTTCTCGAATCCAACTAAACCAAAAATGTGGTGAAGTTATTAATATACATCGGATTTCGGTTTCAATCTTATTATATACATCGTCATTTATTCATAAACGTACAAAGGAAATGACTGGTACGCGGAAGAAAACTTTGTTTGCCAACTTTAAATTAAAGAAAACAGATCAATCGAATTATGTAATTTTCGATCTCGAATAAGGAATTAGTACCTGTTTCATAGCATGCTGAAGCTGTCGTTGAACATCTAAAAAAGCCTGGTCAGAAGTAATCCCGGAAGGAAGCTGTGTGACTTCATTCGATACATCACCGATATAATTGAAACCACCGTTTCCAAGGGTAAAATCGTCTTTGCCATTGGCTATTTCAGGACCAGTCACAAATGACATGTAAGAATCGTCAGACTTTACCGAGTCCCAAGAACTAGTCATGACAGAATCATTGACAGAATATTCCTTTGAGAAGTCGTGGTTTTCTGAAATATTTTCCACCACATTCGGCCAACTCATCTCTTCCTCTTTGCAGATCCCGATGCCAAATATCGAATCGCAATTTCTGGAAAACCAAGGGCACATTCAGTATAAGTGGAAAAAGAAACAATAATTAATAATACAACAATGAAATTTTTCGAATAAAGAAACTGTTTACCTGAACTTCCCGTCGATATCTTCAAACATCCCGTCAATATTTTCAAAGTTGCCGATTTCAGGCCAACCGTAATACAGGAAATCATTAGAATCTTTGTTCTCGGTATTTTCAAAGAAATCGTTGCCGATAGTTTTTATGTCGTCGAGCGGATAATTAAAAGAGTTGTTATCAAATATAGTGGTCTTGTCACTGAGAACTGAGTCAACTCGAATCGAGTCAGCAACGTTCAGTTTGTGGGACAACGGTTCTATTTCCGGCATCGCGTTCTTTCTTTTACCCAGAGTCGAAAATCCACCTTGTTCTCTTTGTTTGATCAACATTTTTAGCAGCAAATCTCTCTTCGATGTTATTCTAAATAACTCGTTAATTCGCGGTGCGGTTTTTTGTCGTTATTTCCCAGAATTAAATAATCACCGAGCTTCTTTGAACAAATATGCGTCTCTATATGATCATCACTCGAGCAACATTCGTCCCGAGATGCGTCTATAAACTGTAAAAGCAGGTAAATAATTTTAGCTACAATAAAATTTACAGCTAAAAATCACTCGAAATCAACGAATTTATTACAATTTATAAAAATTAAGAGTCGAACATATTATATATAGGATTGCTAAGTTGAATAGTAGAAACAATCAAATGCAAATAAATTTAAATCATCATTAAAATTTAAGTGTAAATTACGGCCAACCCCCTGAGATAATGTCAAATTACAAAAAATCCCTCGTGTTTGGGTAATTACAGCCACCCCTCAACTATGAATCTTTTTACACATACACCCTCACGGTATCAAATTTGGATCTTCTAGATTATGTGGAATATTCTCTAATTTGTACCCGTTTTACCCCGTCCGAGCTCCACATTTGAAAATAAAATGATCACAAGATGTGTCTCTTGCCTTGTAAATATCATATTGTGTGGTGCAATAGAAACTGCATGTTCGCAAAAAACGAGTACAAACTAGAGCATATTCCATGGAATCTAGAATATTCTATTGAATCTGACACTATAAAAATAGATGCATAAGAAGATTCATAGTTGGGTTGATTGTAATTACCCAAACATGAGGGGTTTTTTCGTAATTAAACGAGAACAAACTAGAGCATATTCTATGGAATCTAGATTATTCTATCGAATTTGACTCCATAAAAGTGGATGCATAAGAAGATTCATAGTTGGGCTGAATGTAATTACCCAAATATGAGGGGTTTTTTGTAATTAAACGAGTATAAAATAGAGCATATTCCACGGAATCTAGAATATTCCATCAAATCTGACACCATAAAAGTGGATGTGTAAGAAGATTCATAGTTGGGTTAATTGTAATTACCCAAACATGAGGGTTTTATTTGTAATTTTACCTTACCTCAGTGTGACCGTAATATCCCAAAATATTAATCTATCTTCCTTGCTATGTGAATCTAAAAAAAAAAAAAAATTAACAGAAAATAAATCCGAAAGAACTAATCTGCTGCAACGCATCCTCAATTTAATTCTCTGGACTTCCAAAAATGAGGAAAATAAACACACATCCATGTTTCAATCAACTTTTCCTTTTAATTTCAACTTTTAAGCTGAATCCGAACCATAAAATAAATTCAGTGATTTAAAAAAAAAAAAAAAAAATAGACTCAAATTTGCTTTACATCGATCTAATACTCAATCGAGCTGAAATACTCGAGAAAACTCACCCGAAAAATCTAATCAGCAGCTGAAATCGTGAAAACCGGCGGGAAATTGTGAAGTTCAATCCACGAAGATAATCAACCGCTGATTCTCCGGAGTCCCAAATCTCGGATGTTTTTTTAGAGAGAGAAAGCAAAACCAAAGACTTCTCTCTCTCTGTATTCTGTTTTTTGTGCGTCTGCGAGTTTTTTAATGAATAATAATAATAATAATAATAATAATTGAGTAGACAAAATCTCTCAAGAAAAACAAAAAAGAAATTGAATAGACAAATGGGGTCGCTAGAAACCGACACGTGTCTGGTCGAAACGGCCGACCTACGGGTGGGTTGTCAGAACTCGTGGCTGAGAGCACCCGGTTCGAGATACGATCTGTTTCTGCGTTCCTATTGGTGGTTGTGTCCCTTGGAGAAATGAGAAGCCGACACGTGTCTGGTGAAACCAAGTAGTGTGGCCAACTTGGAATTAGTGGTTATGGGGCTTTGGGCAAATGGATTGGGCTTTGGCTGTTAGCTTACTTCAGCGTTGCACTTTTTTATTTATGGGTAAATTACATCTAAACTCTTGAGCTATTCTGTTTTAAAGTTCATGTGTGGTATTGATAATTACAACAAAACACTAGAAATGAATTATCGGAACCAAGATTTTATGATATGGGCACCGATATGCATCGTTGGTGCTACCATAAACGAAAATTTATAAATTTTATATAAAATAATAAGGATTTAGAAATGTTAGGAGAGTCATGTCACCCCTAGCTCCATGTCGTCTCCACAACTGCTTGAAACTAATACTTCGTTAGAACCCTAACGGAATAACTTATCCAATGCATTATTCCGTTAGTATTTCTAACAATGTTTCAGGGGGTAATTGTAATAACCGATACTACATCGACCTTAAAATTATTTTAGCATACCTCAGGGGTCTAGGTGTAATTTACCCTTTTATTATTATTACTAGCATTTTTTTCCCGTGTGCTGCACGTGATAGCATTTCAAAAGCGACAATTAGAGAAAATTTACATAGAAAATAATAATTACAACAATATAATTAACAAAGAAAGCGCAATAACAAAGCAGTAAGTCGTTCAATAGATATAAGAATGAAACGAAGAAGAAGAAAAAAACCTATCGCTTCTGTTTCGAGCTACAAAGCACGGAACAAATGATATTTTCATAATATAGGTATGTTTCGTGTCGATCTACCCTCAGGTTCGTGCTATTAATGAGTTGGGTATTACCCGCTAAAATCCAAACGAGACACGAGGGTCGGATACTCGATAGGGTGATGTCGTTTTAATTTGTATTTATATGTATATAATTAAAACAAACAAAATACATTCATAATAAAAAAAAAAAAATAATAATAATAAATAAAAAGGTTAGTTGGAGCTAATTGATGACTTCCAAAATTACGGCTCCCCCAATATGAAGTCTTCTTGTCTAATCAAAACTACACACAATTGCCCTCAAAATTATACACATAGTCTCGGGCCCCTGCAAAGACAAAGATCCAACATTAATTAGCCAATCTCCAATTTATAGTGTCTTTTTTTGTTTAATTATTATTATTATGATAATATATATCATTTCTTGCAATTGAGATTTTGCAATCTTTAAGTACACCACAATACATGCTTGATGAAGTGGAACGTTCAATCTTTGGCTCGCCA